AGTTACACAAATTTGATCTGTCTGGGATTGTCTCTAGATCCAGATTTATTTGTACTGCATGTCATGAATATTAGCAGCGTGTGATACACTGCATGTCATAATATATTAGCATATGTTAGCCAGGTTATCGATTTCTATCTAGAGGCACAATACCTCCCTTCTATTCAAAAATGGATATAAAAAATTATATTCAGTTTAGCTTTTCTTGAAATTAATAGGAATACATCATCAAGAGCCTGGCAACTACTTGTTACTAGTAACTAGCAGTTCTCTTAAGTCTCTGATCTTCCAGTGTTGAATTTGGTCACACCTTGTTATGCCTCATTATGGCCCTGATCAAAAGTCTATTGAAGTCAATGGAAATATTCCTCTCGGCTTCAGTGAGTATTCGATTGGACCCATGTGTGAAGCTGAAAATGCAAGAGAGTCCATTTCAATTGCAGACAGAAATCCAGCATAGATAATTTTCTTTTTTATTCTGAGGAAATTATTAATAAAGTGCCTCTTCTATCCTGTTGATTGAAGCAATCTTGAAGTAAAACACAACTTCACTAGAGATTGTATGCCCTTGGTGTTGGGATGCAATTTCTGCAACTTCTGCACCTTCTGTCCATCCTGCTAAAATCCCGGTAATAGATAGGATCTATCCTTCTGCATATGGAAACAATACCTTCACTAAGATATAACTAAACCAACAGGATATGGGCAGATTCTGCACAGGTCTGTGTAGCAGAATCATTAGGATAGGGCTCTTCCATGCTCCTAGGACTCCAGCGCTATGATGTGCTACACTAAAAGCAGGAATAATTCCACCATAAGGTAGCATGGTACATATCCAGCTCTGAGCACCATGCCTATCTCATTCTGTGTGTGAGCAAGACCCATCTCTCCATTGGTACTGAACTCATATACAAGTGTTGTCAGGTCTCCTGGGGACTATCTGAAGAAATGCAAGTGATGCCACAAGCTGTATCTGGAATGCGTTTCCCCAGTGAACTTTGGAGAGCTTCTTGTGAGCACTCGACAGGAACTGTGGGAAGCCATTTTAGGACAATCAGCTTTACACCTAAATGGATAGATTCACTGAGTATAATTATACCTCCAGTTCTTTCAACTGGATGGTCCTAACAGACTAAGTATATAAAATTGCACCACTCAATGGTTCTCTGCATCAGTAGAACATGGGATTACTACAAAATCGTAATAAAAACATGGTCCGGTTTTAGCAAGCTGAATACTGCTATTCTAACCTAGGGAAAATGAAAGAACTTTTTGAAGTCACTGACCTGTTCTTCTAAGGAGGACTGCCAGTACTCTACCAGAAGAGTTACGATTCTCTGAAAATTAGAACAAGGAATCCCATTTTTCTCCCTGTTTTACTTCTCCTTTCTAATCTTTCCTCACTACTTATGAGCTGGGAGCAGTGGTCAAAGGTAGTGGAGATTCCTCCTGGGAGGCTGAGAATGAACAGGCATAAAGGAGGACAAGGAAGATATTTTTTACTTGTGTCTTGATCATGGTGAGTTGCGGCAGAAGGTTTCTTCTGCATGGGTAAACATTTGCAGACTAGAAATGCTCTGTCCCAGATGAAGAGTAACTCCTGTTGCCTGAATTCCTCCTTATGCATTTTCTGGAGAGCGTCTGAGGCTTGCCTGCTGCATAATGCACATTTCCAGTTGCACAGATGGACATGTTGATGGGCCGTGTCAAAGAACTTGCTCACCAGTATCAAATCTTTTACTTTGAGTGCTTTCACTACTCTTTTATCTTTAATGTCTTTGTTCTCCATTATTAAATGGAGACTCCTAAGTAATCTCTCACCTCAAAACCTGCTGTGCTCTTGACAAACATTACCTGAGTTTTCACATCTGCTTGAGTGATGAGTATATCTGTAGAGAAAGCCATAGGGAATTGAACACTTTCCTTTAGAGAAGAGCTTACATGATGCCTAAAGAGAAGGCAACCACTGCACAGTGCCACAAAAATAAAATATCAGATGGTCTTTCATTCAGAAACAGTGTCCATTTTGTGTATGGAATGAGCTGGAGATCCTACTATGTGTTCCTATAATTAAAGATTGCGTCAGACTGCGTGCATCAGGGTGAAGAATTAAGGCATTTCCTTTCATGTGCCTCATTTTGCAATTTAATGTCCTAGTGACACAACTACAAATGCATATGTCTGCATGCTGCACACGCAGCACGACAAAAATCTACTGGAAGGTGAATGTTGTGCTCGTTAAGTCAAGCAGCTGGCATTTGGGAAGTCTCAAACTGAAGGTTGGTTGCACAAGCTGAATTGTCTTTTTGTGTATACTTGTTATACAGAAATAATATAAGGATAAAAACAAGAATCAAAAAGCACACTGGCCTTTCTCTCTCCTACAGAAACCTGCTGAAAATATTAATTCATATATAAAATGAATACCTTCCCACCACGATTATGCTCTTTTGTGCTCATTTTCTGCACACAGCCATGATCGATTTGTTCATAACTGCAAATGTTCACAGAAAACTGATTTCATGTGTGATTATGAAATGCACAATGCTGTGAATTTGCACAGTCACACTTGCACTGCCATTCTTCTAATGACTGATGGCCACCAACACCATACACTCCTTTGATTATTCAGGACAAAGCCATATGTCTTGAATGTCACATAATCCTTTTGGCTTGTGTCAGCATATATAAGCAAGAGACAAACAGCTCATATGAAGCATATAAGACTCTCCACCCTTAATGTAATGTATCCCAATTTTCTTCTGTGGGAAAAAATATTTCATATACCCATTACTAACTTTGCTCTTAATACACTACCTTCTGAATTCAGTGGCATCCTGAGCATCCTAAGAATCTGGATGCATACTAAGATTCTTGTGATTACTGTGCCATCAACTTGCATGTGCTCTTCAAAATCACATAAGTAATGTTTTCAGTATTTTCATTCTAATTGATTTGTTTGGCCTTACTAATTGCTTCAGGCAGATTTTTAATTTCAATCAGTTTCATGACAATTTTTCTTTACTTTCAAAAGGGGCAAAATAGGACTGCTTCTAAAAGCAATGTCATTCATATCATATCTTCGAGTGTCAGAAGTATTCACATGAATTACATGTGGTCATATTCATGAAAATTCCACTGCAAATGTCATTGAAAAGCACAGGCTATTCCCAAACAACCACAAGTCCTTAACTATGGCCCAGCAGAGAATGCACCATGACTAGCGAACTTCAATTGTAATTAAACTTACGAATGCCTAGACAATACAACTGTTCTCCCAGCTCTCAACTTTCACAGTTCCTGACATCATATTTCTCAGATTCTGTTTCATATCTCAGAGCATCAAGAGCATCCTGACCACCAACTTAATGGAGCGCAACTCCAGTCTAAATTATCTGGATACTTAGCTATTCCAATTAAAGTTGCTTGTGTAGATCCAAGAACACACTTGCTTTCTGACAATGGCTGAATACCTCAGAATCTTAGTCTGTTAATTCTTCTGCTCTTCTTACTAAACCAAAAAAAAAAAATCTTTATCTACCTACATTCATTGCTGGACTATGCACTTTGAACTCCGCATAATTCAGAAACACATAGCAATGAAACGATCCTTTTCCATCACACTTCTCTTTGTAATTGCTTTTCTAGCACATGAAATTTTAAAAGGGACATCTCTCAAACACCACAAAACTTCTATGTGATCGCTAATGAAAGAGTTTACTGTAGGAGCTGGTACTGTGCCTGTCCTCTCCAATATCACTGGTATTAGGGATGGGATAATCACCATCTAGTGGTATGTGAAGGCCATTTCACCTTTCAGAGACACTACCTGTTTGACTTTCCTAATGAAGGTTTAAAAAATTCACATTCATCTCAGTATCTTCTCTTTTTTCCTATTTGGGTTCAGATTTGTAAATCTCACACATACAAACCAGGAAAATCACAAGAAGAGCACAAACTATCGATGTGCACAATATTTGATGATTAAGCAAGAAAAAGACAAATTACTCTATGACTCTAGGAACTAAATAGTAGAAGTGGGATGTGGGCTTGAAGGCATGCGAGATTTTTGCTCTACTGTATGATTTTCAGAGTAAGCATTAAGTTTAAAAAAAAAGCCCTGCCAATACATAGTCCTCCCTTCTGGAGTCACAAAGATAATAGGCTGCTACGTTCCTCATATCTTCCAGTGGTCCTCAAAAGCACAGATTGCTCCAAGGAAAAACAGTGTTTCTAGTTCAGGAAGCTTATGCAACATACTAAGAAACAGGTTTAATATTGTTTAATATATTTAACCATATAGAAAATGCAGCAAGTTTTACCTATATTGAAAATATTGGCACTATTTTATTTTCTATCTCCCACAGCTGAAGTTAAATTAAAAGCTGATGCTTTAGAACACCAAGAACATAGAGAGACACAGCTAATGAATTCTTGCATGCGTTTCTGTAAAAATAGGAATGGAACTTTTCAAAAAATTAGAGCCAGGTCCTTCTGAAACACGCAGCTAATCTGTAGGTGCAATTAATTTACCTTCACATACTAATTGGGTGTTTCTCTCAGAAAATGGCCAATTACATGCCTAATAAGCCATTTCTGGATACAAAAATCTAATTTGTGTGCCCAATCATACAAACTATGAACCAAAATTAAGCACAGAGTTTTGCAGATCATCTCCTTACTAGCTGCAAAGACTATCTTTGATCTAATAAAGCATCAGAAGCTGTGAGACTCTTTAAGTACTCATTTGAAGCTGGCCTGTATCAGGTATCATTTCCTAACCAGTCACTTGCTAATGTTTATACAGTAACTGATTTATTTCATTTTTCATTAACTCATTCTTTTAGGGTTGCCATGCACTTTAGTTGATACAATGCATGTTTTGCTATGATTTTATAAGGAGATTCCGAGTACTAAGAATTTGGTGGTTTCTAGTCAGGAGGACTCTGCTAACCAGAAAGCACATCTGGAAAAAAAAATCTGAATGTTTTCAATAGTACCTGCTCCGGTTTGATGGGTTCGGTTGTTGTGAAAATGTCAGAATAATGTTGTCTCTCGAAGACTCGGTCCAACACTTCTAATTGCTGCTGAGTGAAAAGATCTCCTCGCATCTGTTTCCGAAGAAAATCTCTAGCCGGGAGAGAATGTCCATTTGGTACTGGAGACTCCTGAATACCTTTCGAAGAGGACAAAGTGTTCAGAATAAATAAGCATTGCAATGACAAGACAGAAGCAGCAATCTTTCACGTCATCATTTGTGGCCATCAGTATTCTGAAAAGATGAAAACGCTCTTTTTAGAGGCAGCTAGCAGGGAGATATATATTTCCAGAAGTGGTACTGATCCTTTATACTGTGCTTATATTATAGTCAGTCCTTACTACAATTTAACTGTTGATGATTTCACATGAAGATTTAAGGAAGGACAAAGTGTAATTAGTGGTTACATGTAAGCTCATGTTTTATGACAACACTTCTGGTCATCTATATAGGTCAGGATCCAGAAAGACACTGGACTATCTGACCACCACCTGATGTTAGAGAAATTGTTGATGTGGTGTGAAACTGCTATAACAGACCTGATTATCCCAGTCACTGTCTATGTGCTTCATCCCCATCCCCATCCTCCCAGTACAGTGTGGGTATTACAGGTATTATAGAAGCAGTTCTATGCTATGCTACACACTGCACTATAATGTGATTATGTCAGGAAACAAGTGCTTCTAATCCAATACCTCTTGTAGTTGTGTGGACAATTCCTGAAACATGGGGACTATCTAATTTCAGTCCCACTAAGGTAGGATTTCCCTGGAACTCAGAATCATTTACACAAGGGCCTGAAAAGGCCTGGCCTGATGCAACCCTCTGGCTTATTACAATTTCACTTCAAATTTCTTCATTTTATAAACATGACGAAGGGCTGCATTTTCTAGCTCTCTCCTTCTTGCAGAGATTTAGCAAAACAGCAGAGTGACTGTCCCATTCATGGGAAAATAGCCACAGTAGCCATCTGAAAAATGTTTAGATTGGCATTCAAAAAAAAAAACTCTGCAACACAGGGCTTATTTCAATTTGGCTTTTTTACAGATTCACACTACTTTTCTACCTATTCCTTCATCTGTCAGTGCTGGAAATACATGTTTTCTGTGATGTAGGCTGAGGTCTGCAATATTCCCAGGACTCCAGGAGGTGGAACTCTAAGAACAACAGTAAATATTAAGAGACTTTTTTTTCCAGATGCCAACATTGCAGTAGACAGGAGGATGAAATGTTTCAAAAATAAATTCTCAATGCCAATACGGTTTTGAAGAGCGTACATTAAATGTGTACTTAACAATATGATTATCATTAGTACTCTTGTGGCTTTTTGCCTATGTAGTTTACAGGTGAATAACAGCACTTGGTTCTTTGCAGTGGATTCTGCATCTTTATTTATTTATTTTACTGTGAGTAACAAAAGCTACCAGTGCAAAAATACCCTCTTGGTGCAGATACTATTCCTTTCCCTAGACACGCACTGGCCACCAACAGCATAAGTGATGCCCACCAGGCAAGATTTTTTACAAATAGCTAGTGATTTGGATAACCATCATTCAACACAGCTGCATTTTCCAGAAACTGCTGTGTATCAATGATGAAAAAACATGGTTCTTTAAGACAGATCTCTCAAACTGGGGACCCAACAAATAAAACTGTTTTTTAAAAGCAAAGTCAATCTCTGTAACAAATTACTGATAACAAAAAAAGAATTAATTTGGGAAATATCATTCCAAATTTTGGCTCAATAATTTGGGCCACAACAGGTTTATATTTACTTGTTTGGACAAATTCCTGTAATTAAAATCAAAAATAGACAATGCAAGATTCTGTAGAGTACTAGGTTCCATTTATTCCATAGAGGAAGTTTGAACTTGTCCTCTGAATAGAAAGTCTAAGCATGTGTACAGAGGTGTGAAACAGTACAAAGGGATATAAGAAAGCAGTGTATCTTTAAATCTTATTTTACTATTCCAAACCAAATATTATCTAATAGACCCAGTGCTGGGTTTAGTCAAGCATGGCTTATAAAATTAAAATTCTAGTTGCTAGCTGCGTGGTAGCAAAAGGCCAGGGAGACACAGTCTCTGGAGCATAGAAATGCTGGCTTTAAATTTCAGGTTAAACTAATGTTATTCACTATTTGGCATCAAAGTTAAATCTTTACACAATTTTCTTTTAAAGGGAGTGATGAAAAGGAGTAAAATGAAGTCAGATATAGTTTGACCTGGAAAATGTTCTCCATGACTCCTGTATTGTTTGTGTATTTTTATATAGCCGGAGATCAGATTCAATTTGGTATTTAAATCTGGTGCAGCAGATGCATGTTTTACCAGCAACACTTGTGTTATGGAACATTCGCAGTGAGCACAGCTCTGAATTTTTTTCCTTGAAAATGCATTTGGAGCCAAACAAATATTAGCTCTAACGTTAGCGGCTTCATTGACAGACAGTACTGTGTTAGGCTCGGGACACTTCATCCTGGGTGCTGTGTTCTGTCATCTCTGCTTAAGCAGCAGGCAGTTTAAGATACTTAAAGAAAGACATGGGATATACTATCCTATAACAGCATTTATGACTCTGCCCTTCCTGGCAGGGAACTCAAAGAAGAACCTGCCACTGTAGTGTCTTCAGAAATAAAAGGAAAAGAAGGGGACCTCCATACAGTCTGGCCTGGAAGGAAAATGCATACACAAAGGCAGTATCCAAGAAAATCAGAAGCAAGCCAGAGGATTATCCAAGCTGGCTGGCTTGTGGTCACCCAAGCTGCACTTGGCTGCTGGCAACAAAGCACAGACACTACTGGACAATATAGTAAAGGACAGAATTAAATGAAGATAGAATAGAGTTTTGGAGGATTTTGAATTTCAAGACCAGGATTTGATATGCTTTGGGAAAGCCCAAATAGCCTAAATAGCAAGTCAAAGGGCTATTTCCCAACACGATGGGACTATTTCTACACCTGTGTTCGTAAGATCTCCACATGGCACACCACTAATGTGGGACAGGATAAGTCTTTCAAAATGGATTTCTGACACAGCTTTTTTTTGGGGGGGGGGGGGGGGGATACCTGGGCAGAAATGACACAGTTCTAAATTTTTTAGGATGACCTGTCACTGTCCTGGACATCCTAGTTTGGGAACTGCACCTCACATGCCCGTTTTCCTCCCTACCTGGTTCTGTTTGTGCACCTCACGATCAAACAGATGCTCAGTTCTTCTCTCCCAAACTCACTAACTCCCCCAATTAAGCCCTAGGTTTTACTGCACAAGTAAAGGGCTCTCTATATGCTGCACATGACACCTAAAAATTCATAAAGGTCTTTGAGATGCATTTTCCTGCTAGGTATTATATAAATGTGAGATAATTACCATTAGCATTATGCATTGTTTGAATACACCAGAACATCTCCAATAATTAAAATACTGTTGGCAGGTTTGAAACCGTACGGGTAATAAATAGGCTCCAGGGAGTGGTAAAAACATTTTTTATATAATCAATGCATCCACCTAGGAGGATTGCATTTTGTTGACAGTAGCACTACAAATGTGCATACCAACTCTGCAAAACAATTAGCTCCTAGTCCAGCAGCATCTTTCCAGAGATGGTAATGAAGAGTGTAGATAAAATACTCGCCTTACAGCAAGAAGACATTCTTCTCAGGTGAATGTTTCACCCTTTATCTCTAATGATAACACCGGACAGGACAAGACATTATTATAAAGACAGTACAAGAATGCAGTTGGCTTTCAACTTTCTCAGGTATGTACCTTCCCTCCCAACATGATGACAGAAGCACTATGTGTCCCATAGTTCTCTCTGCAATCCGCACATTCAGATTTGTCAGTATTTGAAGGAGGGAGTGTGTTCCTCCTGGTCTACATCAGCACCAAGCTGAGCAGGTGCTGGATCTGCTCCACTGGACCGTGCTGCTGCTTCAGTAGCCCTTCCATTGATCTCACATGAGCCAATTCCAGAAAACCAGCCTCCAAGTTCAGATACTGCTTAGGAGTGAGCATTAAGCTCAGGTCACAAACCAATGATTCGTAATTGATGAGCTCATGGCATTTAGGCACACCTTTATATAGGGAAAATTCCCACAAATGTCCTCCCCTCTTTCATATTTACTATTGGGCATTTGAAAGAAAGAAAAAACAATAATAATAAAAAAGAAGCAGTCTCTTCTCACAATGGGTTATGAGCAACTTGGACAACCTCTTTCATGTTCATGGTTTAGCTGGAAAAATCCTCTATGATTTAACAGTCGAAGTGGGGTACCATTCTAAAGCATCATGACTTCAGATAGCTGAAGACTAATGAAATGCTAACATGACATTCTAGTAAAGAATTCCCTACAGCTACTAAAAGTCAGCATAGTCTAAAATGTGGGGAGCAAAGAACAGATACGCCACTAAGAAGAGGCATGATGTTTTGTCATCTTGTTGACAAAAGGCTGGCCAAACTGTGGTGATATCATTCAGAAGTACTAGGTCTTTGTTATTTAAGAGGAAATTATTTTGTGGAGACATTAACAGATGGCAAGAATAGTTCAAGGGATTTGATAAATTGTGGTCTATTTTTTTATTATACTTTTATCTTTTATGGTTAAATATATGTTTTTCACCTATTTTCTGAAACAACAGGAAACACAGAATTGCTAAATATATCTAAAACATTTTTAAATGATATTCACCCTTTAATTCCCTTTTAAAATAGTGTTTTATTTACACGGTACTAAAACTATGCATCTAATTAGTGAGAACAAATGACCCTAGTTCTCCAAAAACACTACAGCATTTTTAAAACGCTTCTAAAGATTAGTGCTAAAAAAAGAAAATTATATTAGTAAAAACATTGAAATAAAGAAAAAAAATCAACGTCAGCTCGTTTTTTTTATTAGTAGTATTATTATTGCTTAGAGAGATAAAATCATCCGTTTAACTATTTCTTTATGAAGTAGCACTATGAAATAATATGGGAGAGATCCCTAAACGGGTATAAATAAGTGTAAATTGGAGCCATACTTAAATTCAACTGAAATAATATTTCCTGATACTAATAACAATGATGCACCATAAAGCACATATCTCTATGGAATATTTGTCTAATATAATTCTGCATTGGAGAAAAGGCAGTCTCCT